ACACCAGCACGTGTTGAACCCGACAGCAACCCAGAAATGGCAGAGTGAGCGGCATAGGCAACCTCGAAAGGGGGAGATAGGCGAAACTGGTAGCTAAGGAAGCCAGCGCAGTTTCAACTATGGCGCATTTTATGAGTTAAGAGATCTGACAGGCAGTAGAGGACTCTCGTGGTCAGTTGTGATTGACGATGGATATAATCGAGAAAGCTTTCCCTAGCTGCAGGCCAGGTCGATCCTAGCAACATCCATGGCGAAGACTAAATCACTGCCGTGTCTCAGGAGAAGCCGCTCCAGTGCCTGACAGAACAGGATCGTGTTCATTCGACGACGAGCCACAAGCAGCTGGCCTTTAGCAGAGGAAGCACATCCATCGCTCTCTTTAAGAGATAATTTCGATATACCCTCCTCAGCAGCTGTACTGAGCGGGGCGTTCGATGAATTACCTCGAGAGCCTTTGGCAAATTTGGCAAACATGTCCTAATAAGGGCTCTCTACCCGTGAAACCCTGCTTATCTGATGCCGCCGAGGCATAATCTGTTACAGCTTAAAGTCTGGAGAGATACCGGTCATTCGCGTTGGAGCCTGGATGTTGACAGATGGAGGTCGCTTCTTGTGACCTCGCGAGCCTCGATAAGGCCCATAAGGTACCGAAGTATAAATCAGGCCCGCTTGGGACGCCTGTCGATGTTGTAGGCTTGTAGCACGGGACCCTTGACCCACTAAGCCCGCATATCACATGCTCGAAACTAGCGGGGCCCGTGCTAAATACAGCTTGCCGCCGTACTAGAGCACCTCACTGTGTAGCTCGGACGCGATAACAGCGTCGTTCCTCATCTACGCCTCCAGTAACGATCAACATGTCTACAACTGCCAACTCAAGGGCGCCTATCCTAAAGCCTGACCTAACCTAGATTACTATTCACATACCAGACTACTGCCAGATGTATTGATATATATAGCTTAGCCTACCCCTTAGAATCGAGCAATCTCCCTGACCTTAGATCCTCTTGCACACTGTTCCGACCGCAATCTTGGCTCCATCAGACTCGACGTGATGGCCCCGACTCTATCACCGCGTTCTCTCCTTGCTTATGCGAGCCACCTCGTGTCCCAAGTCCCGCTTCTCGGCAGTCTGTCGAACAACGTTCCAGATTCAGTCCCTTCCGTATTAGAACCGGCTAGTTCGATAAACGAGTACGGGACATATCCAGACCGACTGCCGACGCTCGATGACATAACTCCATATGACCCCCTTACCGGCTCGCCGTCATGCCCTACTGACGGTCCTATAAGCTGCCAGAACAAGACTGTGGCCGACTCTTGCTGCTTTATACACCCGGGCGGGCGACTGTTGCTCACGCAGTTCTGGGACGAGGAGACGCATGTGGGTGGGACGGACGAGGACTGGACCCTTCATGGGCTCTGGTAGGTTATCCTTCTTGGCAAATCTTATGTCTGTCCCTCGTCTCGTTGGGCTGTAGAGCACCGGCGTTTGGTCGGATATGATGATGAAATTGGTCACGAAGCTAGGGGCAACTGAGTGTTAATGGTAACGGAATCAGGCCGGACTTGTGCGATGGCTCCTACGACCAGTTCTGCGGAATGACTCCGCGCTTCGACAACATCACTGCCGTGCTCGAACATTACGACCAGGGCGAACTTATAGAACACATGAATAGGTACTGGACCGCAAAATAGTAAGTCCACTCTTCTCAGAGAGAAGGGAGATTGTACACGAGGCATGAGGGTTTGAACGAGGGATTAACAAAGCACAGTGGCACAAATGAGCATCTCTGGGCACACGAATACAACAAACATGGAACGTGCATAAACACGCTCGCCCCAGCCTGCTATGGGGACGGTTACACTGCAGGGCTAGAAGTCGTCGACTACTTCGTCCGCGCCTTCGGACTATTTCGCATGCTGGACACATACCGTGCGCTTGAAATGGCCGGCATTGAGCCCCATCGTTCGAAGACGTACGACCGGGAAGATGTCCAGGCCGCGCTCGAAAAGTTCAGTGGCAGCCGAGTCATCCTCAAGTGCTCTGGCCACGGCACCTTGCACGAGGCTTGGTACGTCTATTTCGTCAAAGGTAGCCTCCAGAGTGGCGAGTTCGTGCCAGCGAGGGATACCTTCTATGGGGATCACGGGAACTGCCCATCCCGGATCAGGTACTTGCCCAAGAGGAAGAGGTGAGATGACTTGGGAGCGGAAGACAGCCACCGCGATAATGTTATAATATTTAATAAGAGTAGGTTGGAATTTTGGATTTCTGACTGGGCATTGCAAAGGGATTCGGAGGCGCATTGGATCATCGATTTTTTCGTGTTTTTTAATTCTGCATTTCTAGCTGATGCGAGATAAGCAAAATGACACCAAGCATTCAGCTCAGTCTCCAAGCAATGTCAACGAACACATATGTCAAGCCAAGTCATCACCAGGACGAATATTGTAACGAGCGATTCGAGTCATATGACTACGACTACCTTTTTTATTTCTCTTCGCCCTCCACACTCCCGGCAGCTAGACAGACAGACCGGGTTCCATGTAACTTCTTCAGATTCCTCCCATTTTCCACAGAGACGAAGACACCGGGAACAAAAGCAGAAACAAATCAAGATGCAGACAAGTTAGGCGGTCCCAATAAGCCAGCCAGGGTTTTTTCTCTTCTCGACCACATTGAAACGCGTTCCGAACACGCGACGATGTCAATGCGCTGTCGATTTCCATTTCCCCCTGTTACTCGGCTTTTACTGTTTGAATGACGGGATGGTCAGATACGGCCATTTCTCGAGCGAACCCTCGGTTCGGGTGTCTGAACCGAGTCGAAACAGGAAATTTTTAGACTACTTACTGAAGACCTGTGAGAGATAGATTTTTAACCGCAGACGGCGCCACCGTTGTGGTTGCCAGCGCAGTCGTTGCCGCCGCAGTCGGCGATGGTGACGAAGATACCGTTGGAGCATTGGATCTTTTTGAATTGGGGTAGTAATGTTAGTTCTGGCTATTTTTCGCATTGTCCCCCCCGGCCTGCCCTTGTCCTTTTCTTATTTTCTTCCTCTTTTTCTGGAGTCCAGACTTACGATGCTATGGCAGGTGGGATCACAGGCGAAGCCGTTGCCGTTGCAGGCCTCGCCGATGGGGAACGCGGTGATAGGGGCGCCGAACTGCGAGCCGCAGGTGCCGACGGGCTGCTGGCGCGCCTCGACGGAGGCTGGGCTGGCCATGGCGGTGCCGGCGGCGGCCAGGATGGCGCCGAGGAAGGCGGTGGTGAACTGCATTCTTGGAAGTTTGTGGTGGTTTGTTGTTGTTGTGGGTGAAACTAGTTTTCAGGGTGAGAGGAATTTGTCATTGATGAGGAGGACTTGATGCCTCTTTATATATCCGTTTTCGTTCTTTTTACCTTTGCCATCATCTTCCCATATCTTCACGTTCTTCGAGTCCTTTCTCTTTGAACGCCCCCTGCTTCTTCTTCGCTTGGGCTCGGGCACAGCAAGCAAGGAGGGTTGGACAGGGTCCTCGGCCTCGCATAATGTTGCTCGACGAGCCTCATAGTCTCATTACAGAAAACTTGCTGACGCTATTCACTTTTCTTGCAGTAATCGATTATTTCCTCCTCTGCGGCCATCCTCCCCGGAAATATATCAACGCTGGTTTATCTCCATATCGGATACTATTACCACTCTTGGAGTCAAGTCGTCGTCGTCGAGCGTGACTTCTCTTGCTTCTTCACCGCTCGTGAGCATGTGTTGGGTGTGGAAGTCCTCCACTCCCGCACCCAGAGACGCGGGACGTGAGTAATCCCGAGGCTGTCGTCAACATCGACAGAATGTCCTGTCAGCGAGAGGGAGATCGTCGAGGAGAAGACGGCGTGTAACACACCAGCTTGATGGATAGAGACGGGTAAGCGGACTCGGAGAGGTTCCTTTTTGCAGTGCTCAATTGTTTGTAATATGTCGTGGTTGCCGCAGATGACGAGGTTTGATGATGTTAGGTTAAGTGATCCAAGGTTATGAAGAGCCTCCTTTCCAGACTATGGAGACGACCATGACACATTCTCGGAAGATCTGCAAATCCAGACATCGAATGTTGGATAGAAGCAGCGAGAGTAGAGCTCCAGATGGGATCCCAGTTTCTCATGGATATCAATCAAACCAAGGGTGACATTTGATTACACTATCAAGCAGGACTCAGGGGGAAGGAAATACGACATCACAAGAACTTGCAAAAGGCGGTGATTATTAACCACGGCTCTCTACGGTCTTAACACGGTCGTCTGTCTGATGCACCAGGGTATGGCTCAAATGAAGGACTTGAGTTCTCCTATTTCAAGAGGTATACGAGGGTCAGATAGCTTGACTTATCACCCTACGTACACTCTCATATATACTGGGACAACAGAAAACACTCTCATTCTACGTGTTACGCTATACTAAAACACATGAGGACTACAGATCAGGCATTTTCAACATATGTAAAAGTCACCGTACACTTATAGCTCTCTGACCTAATTATATGAATGGTATGGCATATCTTACTTTCCCCTGACATTGCCGTGGACGTTCTGTCGTATGCACTGCCATTAAGTAAGCTTACTTGCATCTGGCATCCTTTATGTACGTGCCTTACAAAGCAACCAGGAAGAGGTTCAAAAGTCTAACTATAATCCGAAAGTAATAGGTAAAGATGAAAGAGGCATAAATTACAATAATCGAAGCCGCTCCCGTTCTATGACCGGATGACAACGTAAAGGGTTGCGAGTGACAACATATTATATTCTTTTACGGCGTATAACATATACATACCACCTTACATAACAGCCGTGCCTCGATCTCTTCGCATTGGCGCAACTCACTGTCTTAAAGTCCGGCATAGGCATCGAGCAAAAGAGTGAGTGAGTATGCATAACAACGTGAGCTCTCGGAGAGAGTCTCTTCCATCCCATGACTACTATGAATTGAATTAATAGAATTCCCAATATTCGCAAAAAGATAGATCTCCGAATCGGGGAATCGAACCCCGGGCTTGACGGCACAGACACCCCTTTATCCCTGGCTGACAGGGAATGAAGGAAGATGAGAGCGTCAAATGTTAGCCACTACACCAATTCGGATAAACGATGAATGAATGCCTTGCTGCTGCCCACTAGCGGAATCGAACCGCTGATCTTGTCATGACACGATAGATAACAATATTTTTGTGAATGATATCTTTACTAGTGACACGCTATACCACTTAGCCAAGCGGGCTTTTGCTTTGCTTTGCTTTCATTGATTGATGTTGTCTCGGGCGTCAATTGGGATAGATTGGTGCATGCTCCGGTGGAAACGAATTTGTTTGTTCGGAGGGGCCATGCGAAGGGATCGTCGTTCTGGTTGGCGAAGGGGATGCAGAAGTGGATGGCAAAGTGGATGGGAAAGTGGATGGGAGGGTGGATGATGTGGATGGTGTGGGAAGTGGCTGGTGATGTGGCTCACGGCATCAATGGTGGCTCAGCATTGGAGTGGGTTTACCCAGGAAGTCACTCTCGATCTTCCTGCATGCGAATTGGAATTCTGTCCACACCTTCTCAGAACACTTACAAGAAGCTCATGGCGCCTGGCGACAAGTCCACCTACACCATCACCTCGAACAGCTTACTTAGCTCTTACAGATGATCCTTTGTGTTGACCTGTCGTTATCGAAGCCCGAAAGCTGACAGAATGCACATTATACTTGCGGGGGCAGCAAGAATAAGTGTCCAAAGTTCAAACGCCACCGAAAGCTATGAAAGAAACTCATCTTCACAAGAGGTTTACAGCATACCTACCTTTCGTAATGTCCGGACCTTGTCTTACGGTATAGTTTATCTCTGCGTCTTGAATTATCTCGAAGTTTATCTCTGCGTCTTGAAGTATCTCGAAGTTCAGAGTCGCGCCATTTTCTTGATGACGACGAGCAAAACGACTTGCTGTATGTGGTCGCAACACATACCATGATACAATGCATCATCACTTCTACATAGTCTTCCGCGATGTCTTGATGCCGCACTCTAGGAAGAATAGGCTCAACCGTCAGCTACACTTGCGAAATCCATATATAACGTTAGGATATACACTTACGCTGAGTGCCAGTTATTCCTGATGGCACTATGGGCAAGGAACTGACGAGAGCTGGTCACAGTCACTCGACTTCCCCCCGCGATCGTCGAGACACTTAACAATGAAGAAAAGAAAATATAAACCCTGAGACCTCTTGTAGAGATATGGAGAGCATTCAAGTTAGGAGAGGCGTGTCTCTCTACCCATTGTATTAGCTGAGTGAGCCTGCTAAATCCAAACTAGAGATGCTGTTGAGCTAGACAGCTTTGACACCGGACAACGCATCGGAAGAACCTACCAGCAGCTACCAGTGCCTACTCTCCCTTTCAGATTCGTTCCGTCCCGATCCTGCTGGCTTGACCAAAACATGTTGCGTAAACTGGGCAGAGTCCCCTTCCTGTTTCCTATGCCGAGTCTCTTGCAGGGCATAGTCGTACCTCTTGATCAACAACATGTGAAATCTTGCTTCAGGCCGGAAATGAGTTCGGTAAGGCGATCGTCGGGGGAGTAACCGTTTGTTCCAAGTTTGAGAGAGATACGAGTCCCCTGACATAACCTGACCCCGTTGGTAACCTACTTACCCAGTGGCGTCCACGTCACATCAAGCTTTGTGGCGTGACATCGGTAGCTCGGACTCCGGGTCCTCCCCTACATATGCACTCCATTTCAGACCAGGTAACTTGGCCTCACCAGACAGAGATGAGGAAACGTATATGTGTAGTAGATAGGTATTGGCTGGAAGACGGACGGCACCCTGCAATTAGATGTATCTTGGGAGAGTACGGGGCTGCGAACTCCGAGGGGACTTTGCTAACAATTTCCCTGCACAAAAGTATACCCCAGGACCGATGTCTCATAAAATCCACTCTTTAGGTCTGTCTACTACTCTGGTTTACAAAACCGAGGCTGTTTCAGTAGACGAAAAAAGATTATGTGGAGCTAATGAACGAGGCAAGGAGAAGGGGGAAGAATGAGGAGGCGCGCGCAAAGCGAGTCCCGACGTTTTCTGTCACATACATACCTACCTAAGTACGAAATATTGCGCACTTGTTTTTGTAAATCTCCGATCTGCAAGAAAAGTAGAAAACAGGGATCCGCTGGATAAGTAAGTACTTACGCAAGGGACGAGTAGACTAGGTGCCTTGATCATCAAGGTAACCTAGACTATCTAACGTCTCAGTGTCACGAGATATCTATCATCTAGAACCCTTGCCCCCATCATCAATAAGAGCCTCCTCACCGCAACAACCGAGATCAAACATGTGAGGCTGTACGAGTAAATAAGTAGGTATGCAAGGTTCTTCAAGATGCTCTCTCCAAACTTACGACTGCAGGGATATATATCCCAATTTCCCAACTCATCCCTACCTAAGAATGTACCTACTGTACTTACTTGTTCCAGGGATGAGACGAAAAAGTTTGTCGCTATGCACGTAAGGTTAGTATTCATTATGGTGTATCATCTCCCTTATTCACCGCTCGCAGGCCGCGGGTACTTAACCTAGGTTAACATGTACGTGTGTAAAATTGCTTCCCATGGTAAAGGTTAGGTATCATACTCACATAACACCGTGCATATATACAACTCTCCGCAACGACATCTCAACCAATGCTACCATCTCAGTTAAGCTACAACTCAAGTAACAACCTCCAACTGCACCTCCACGCTCTCCTGAATATATACACAGTACACCTGAATACATTCATTCATTCATTCCTACACTCCCACGCCCTCGGCCTTGCCCTCGCTCACCGAACCGAACCGAGTCGAGCTAAACTGAATTGAAAATATGATATCTCTAACATCCCCAGTATCCGTGATACCTTCGCCCCTTTCCCCTAATTCAATAAGAAAAAACAAAAAAAACAAACGGGGATGTGGATATCAATCCATCAATCAATCAGCCCAGTCGCTAACTAATTACCCCCGTACTCGCAATTTGAGCCTCAATCCCCTCCCCTCTCTCCTCTTACGTACGAGCATTGAATTACTTACTTACTCAGTAAACGTTACACACCCTAGGTTGAGTACTTCCCCCCCCCCTTTTACGTATCATTATCCCATCCCTTGCTTCATAAGCACCTTATTATGTCTGTACTATGTACTGCACGGTCTCTATTACATTTACCGAACCAGTTAGCGCAAGGGCACCTTTCCATGTACGAGCTTGAAAGGTATATGTATGTATGCTAGATAGGATTGCCTCCTTGCTGCCTGTGCGTATGTAACCTAACCTAGGGAGTACACAGATACATACATACAATAGATCAGACGACTTACACGGGGTGACAATGCACGGGATACACAAAACTACCTTTAACTAACTAACAAAAAGCAGGCTGTTAAGAAGGGTATAACTGCAAGGAAACAACCCAAAGAGAAAAGAAAGCAAAAGAAAGAATACGTGGCATATGATCCATCATCTCCCTCTTCTTGCCTCTCCCTGCATATACCAAGTGGGCGGCGTAAGGCAAAAAAAATTGTTACAGGTGCCATTTAGAATATACGTTCCGCAACATTGCGGCAAGGGGAATTAAATAAAGGACCCAGGTAGACGGAACGGACCGAGAGCCGAGGAGGCGGTATCGTGCATTGCTTTAGCCTTCAGGCTTGCGGCCCGGACATCGCCCCTGTTTTGGAGTGAAGTTATGCACAATGTGTGTATTGTGTTATGTAAGGGAGTAAACAAACCCGCGAAAAAAGCCCAGTGGGTAGGTAGATGTCAGTTGAGATCTTTTTGCATCTACACTAATAATTCATGGTCGCATCGCAAATTCTATCTCATCTATCTACCTTCTAAGCAGCCAGAAGCAGTTATCCCTCACTAGTAATAATCGTAAGTAATGCTCTAAAGGCAGTTTCTCAGATCGAGAGCTTGGGCACGGCATATTTGAACACGTTCTCCGGGTCGTACTTCTTCTTCAGCTGCAACAGCTTGTCGTAATGGGATCCGTAGATCTTCTTGTAGTCCGAGTCCTCGTCGCCCATGAGGGACACGTACGATGACTCGAGCACGTTCTCAGCGTCCACCTCGCCGAGCTCCTTGATCAGGGCCCGGGACCACTCGGCGCCCTTGAGCTCGAGCTCCGCGACGGGCGTCATACTGACCAACTCGAGCATGACATGGTCGACGCGGGCGCCGAATACCGCTTCCTCGCTAGCCGCCGGCGCGCGGAGGGCGTGCACGGATATGGCGATGCCGCCGCCCGGGATCAGGCTCGTGTATTTGGCGAGCACCTCGGCCGTCTTCAGCGTAGTCTTTGTCAGGTTCATTGTGTAACCACGTCCGTAGGAGCCGTAGACCACGAGTGACTCATTGAACGCAATGTATGTCGACACAGGCTGCGGCTTGGGGTCGTTCATGAGACAGGTGCCCAAGCCGGCAACCTTACTGATCCATTTTTTACCCTCTTCGTGGTCTGCATCGGCCCACGTGGCTCCCACCGCGAAGACTTTCCCCAGCCCGGGGAGCTCGATGCCGAACTGCTGCAGCTGTAAGGCGCGAGGCAGAGGCTGTTCCGCAACTAGCTTCTCGTACCCCTCGGCATAAGTGGTCCATGTCTTTGTCAAGTCACTCGACTCGAACACTAGGAGGGAGACAAGGAGCTGTTTCATACGAGGTATCTTTGCTTAGCAGAAGAGCCCGGGCTAAGAAAGACAGAGCATTGACCTTACCTCTTTCAGGGGATAGACCTTGACAGTTAGCTCGACGATAACGCCAAAGATGCCGCCGCCGCCCCGAATCCCCTGCAACAGCTCTTCACTAGCTTCGACCAACTCGCCTTTGGGGTTCACGATTTTGGCACCCACAATCTGATCAGCCCCTAGGCCGTGGCTTGTGGAAAAGGGGCCGTAGCCCCCGAGCGTGGCCCAGCCGACATAACCGACGCTAGCAACAGAGCCTCTATATCCGACGCACCATTGATCAGTTAATTAATCCAAAGTCACGGCGTCACCGGATGTGGTGGAGGCAGGTTTATGAGCACTAACACGGGGGTGATCAGCTCCTGCGCATCGAGCTCCTTGGCCAGATCTCGAAAGAGGATGCCCCCGCCTACAGCGGCGGTCTTCTTGTCCTCGCTGACTTTGACGTATTTGATATCACGAAGATCGATGCTCAGGGCACCGTCGACCTGACTGCGACCAGCACAGTCGTGCCCACCAGCGC